ATTGTTTTACTGTTAATATTGTGGACCACACCGAGGGCAAGTACTTGTTAGAGCAGGAACTAATGGGCTATCCAGAACTTACCTAGGAGAAGTGAGAAGGTGTGTGTGGGGGGAAGGGGGGTCGAGGGAGGGGGATCAGGGCAATTACAGATCACAGATCATCTCTGTCCAAACAAGAATCCAAGCAAGATGAGGTTTAGATGGATAACAGGAGGGCCCAAAGGGAAACCTGGAGAAGGAGGCCATGGGTAGGTGGATGCTTTCTGGGGTGACCCGAAGAGATACACACTCTTCTTTGTGTTGTTTTGAGGACTCTAGCACTGCAACCCCTGTCTCAAGCCTCTAAGGTTCTGAGATGACAGCTGTAAGTCACCACCACACCTGGCATTTTTGTTCTGTTTTGTTTTTCCAGCAAGAGATTGCCGGTTTCACTGGTGAGTCATCATTGAATTGCAAGGTGTGGGGAGGGCAAGACATTTAGTCAAATTTTACTCCCTACCATGTCTTCAGCTTGCAAAGCCAGACACTACAGACTCACAGCCACTAGAATACCTCTTGACCCAGACCTTATTGATTTTTGGAACCTTGTTAGGGTTTTTTGTTGTTGTTGTTGTTGTTGTTTTGTTTCTGTGTTTTGTTGTTGTTATTGTTTGTCTTTTTTTTTTTTTTTTGTCAGTTAGACACAAGCTAGAGTCATCCTGAAAGACAGAACCTCAACTGAGCATATGCTTCCGTCAGATTTAGCTTTAGGCGAGCCCGTGAGGGGCATTTTCTTGATTAATGGTTGGTGCGTTATGGCTTAGCGCACTAGGGGTAGTACCACTCCTGGGTTGTATAAGAAACCAGGCTGAGTAAACCCTGAAGATCAAAGCAGGAGACAGCAGTCCCTCCCCACGGTCTCTGCTTCAGTTCCTGCTTTCGGTCAGTGTTTTTATCGCAGCAACAGAAAGCCAAGCAAGACTTACCCTGAGCAATGTGCTCACACCCAAGACAAAACCTGATGCTTCCCTCAGCCTAATCCTGACTAGTCCCTCAAGGCACCCTACAGAAGTGGCATCCGCTAGACCCGTGCTTTGTTCTATTATGCAGCCCTGTGGGGTGGCCCTGATGGAGCACACAGATGGTCTCAGAGGCCCTCCCACACTGCCTCAGCCCAGGCAGTTCTTATCTTCTGAGCACATTGCAGTTACCAGGAAGACTTGAAACAGCATGTTCCTTTGCTAAGAGCAGTGACAGAAGCTGTGAAAGCTCTTTCACTAGAGGGGGGCCTGCTAAAAGCACGGGCCTTCCAAACCCCAGGCTCCAGCCCTCTCCCTGTCTGTGGGGACCCTGGGCAGAATATTTCTGCCTACTCCACAATGGAAAGGACAGTGTCAAGACAGCGTGGACACATAGGTCCCATTGAGATATGGTATATGCTGACAGAAAAGCCTCCAGGGAAAAAGCTTCTGCCAGCTGTGACAGCAGAGCCTGGGGCTGGGCCTCAGCCTCAGAGTTGTTGACATTTTGTGTCCTGAGGGCCCGCCCAGTGCAGGCATGATGCCTACAACCCCATTCTGTGCCAGACCTATTGCTTCGCAATATGACAACTATGAATGTTTCCAGAAATTGCCAGAGGTCCCAGGGAGACAAATTGGCTTCCCTTTGTGAACCATGGGTTTGGGGGGGAGCTTTGCAGGAAGCCACGAGGAATGTGAAGGCATAGAAACAGCAGTTCCTCCAGCTGCCTTCCTCCTGATAACCCCCCCACACAAGCCCCCTCCGTGTGCATGCGCCCTTGAGTGTGTGTGTGTGTGTCTGTCTGTCTCTGTGTTGGAGGGAGTGCGGAAGGAGCTACAGAGGGAAGGATAGAAAGGGGAGGAAGAGGAGAGAGGGGTGGTGTGGGAAGAGGGGTAGCAGACAAAGGAGAGTTGCTTGAGGGTCTCCACATCCTGAACATCCACAAGTTGTAGCCTTGTGGGCCTCCATCCCCTCTTGCCAGAGTCTTTGACGCCTCTTCCTCCTCTTAGTGGCCTGGGAGATGCTGAGTAGTCCCCCCCACCCAGCTTGGAGTAGGAATGGAAAGCACCCAGTCCGTTCTGTGCTCCCCTACATTCAAATGCTCCCCTACAGGTTCTGTCAACCTTGCCCCCCCTTTTTGAGATAGGGTTTTCCTGTGAAACAGCCCTGGCTGTCCTTGAACTCACAGAGATCTGCTTGCCTCTGCTTCCTGTGTGCTGGGATTAAAGGCCACCTCAACCAGCCCCCACCTTGCTCTATAAATTCACGGGGGGGGGGGAGTTTGTTAGCATTCATATCTCTTCAGATACACTGTATCTACTTGTCTCACCCCTGAGCTCCTGCTGCCACGCCTTCTCCAGCACATGGATGGTAGTACTCCAACTGCCACGCCTTCTCCTGCACATAGATGGTAATACTCCAACTGTGAGCCAAAGCAACGCTTTCTTTTAAAAACAACAACAACAAAATCTGTAACATTTGACTCCTGATCACAGAGCTCCATTGGTTTAGCTGCTTGCATGGTCACTTGCTATAAGCCTTTATTCTCCACAAAGCAAATGGAAGAACCTGTTAAAAATGGGAACCAGCTCTTTTCCGTGGCACCTCCTAGGGGATGAGCCCTGTTAAGATGAAGCTGAGTATCTCTTTCCCAGCTGCCAGCTGTCCGAACTCACTGAAGTGGAGATGACAGCAAGCTTCGTACTAAACACATGGCCACGGAAGTAGGGAAGTGGCTGCTGATGCTCTGGGTGGGTCATGTGGTCCAATCAGGGGTGGGAATGACACACAAGGGTTTTCTCATGAAGCAAGGTGTTTTGACCTACACAGAGAGTACCTGATGTTGAGTTAGGCGCATCCCTGTTATAGACCAAGGAGAATTGGAAAGAGGAAGTGTAAGTCTGTTTGGGATACATTATGGATGTCGAAGTATTCTCAACTTGGTTATTGTATTTTTTTTTTTTTTTTAGGGTAGGGGTGGAAAGAAAAGGATTTTCCTTAGCTGACAGATGCTACTGTGCCTCAGAAGTTGGGCACCAAAAGAGCAAGCAAAATACAAAACCTTTTCAATCTCTCTATAGATAATACTGCCAGGTGTTGGTGGCACACACCTTTAATCCCAGCACTCCGGAGGCAGAGGCAGGTGGATCTTTGTGAGTTCGAGGCCAGCCTGGTCTACAGAGCAAGTTCCAGGACAGCCTCCAAAACAATACAGAGAAACCCTGTCTCAAAAAAAAAACAAAACAAACAAACAAAGAGATAATGCCTGCCAATATGTTAAGCAGAAAGACCTTAAACCAAGAAGGGAAGAAGTCAAGGACCGAAACATCCAAGATTCAGCGTCTTGTTGTTCCATGTGTCCTGCAGCACAAACTCTGGCCTATTGCTCTGAAGAATACACTAAGAAAAATAAGGGGGAGGCTGCAGAATATGCTAAACCTTTGGCCAAAAGAATGAAGGAAGCCAAAGGGAACCCCCCAGGAACAGATTACCAAGAGATATAGTCTGTCCTTGCTGAGAGCTTCTACGAAATTTGAGCCCAGCCAAAAAATAAGAAACAAGTAAGTCTTTACATGTAGCAAATAAATTACCAGACCTTGAAAAAGAACGTCAGAAAGCACTTGTGAGATAGTGGCAAGAGGATTAGGAATTCAAGGTGATCCTTGGCTACATAGTACACAATCTGGCTGGGCTACATAGGATTCTATCATAAAAAGAAAGAAACAAGCATGCTTAAGTCAGGTCAGATGTGGTGGTGACTCAGGCCTTGACTCCCAGCCCCTGGGAAGCAGAGGTAGGAAGGTTCCAAAGTTCAAAGTCAGCCTGGTCTACACAGAGAGTTCCAGGCTAACCAGGGTTATTCTGGAATCAGTCAACAAATTAGCCAGTCAGTGCAGACTCAAGACATCTCTGTCCCCAAAACTGTGTGATGGCAGACTTGGTCCTCAGCAGCAAATCCAAGCCTGTCTACACACTGTGTGTCTACAATCCTTTCTCACTCTAGCTAATCTCATTTTTCTTTGGCCATTAATCCAACCACACTATCCTTCCGTCCATGCACTCGGCATGCTACCTTTCCACTGCCCCAGCTTCTGTACAAGCTGAACCTTTGCTGAACCCCCTCTGCCAGCTCCCATTCTGCATCCTCCCCTCTAGGTGTCTACACAAACATCCCTTGTCAGACCACACCCTTCCCTTCCCCTCCCAATCTGAAAATGACCTTTTCAAGTATTTGTGCACTATCCATTGTATACCTCTCCTCCTTACTGGGAACCCAGGCTAGGCCCTGAGCTTGCTGGGCAAGTAGTAATCTACCACTGAGAGCCTCCCCCAACCTTTTTATTTCATGATCGGGCTCTTGCTATATGGGCCAATTAGCCTTGAATTAATTGCTATTCATTATTGAATGAATCTTCCTGCCTACACTTCATAAATGCTGGGATTACAGGTGTACATCACCACTTCACTTTTGAGACAAGGTCTCATTTAGCCCAGTCTGGTCTCAGACTCAGTCTGTAGCTAAGGCAGACCTTGAACTACTGATCCTCCTACCCCTGCCTCCTGAGTTCTGGGGTTTCTGACCTGTACCAATACTCCTGGTTCCTCCCACTCTCCCTTTTTGTTTTGGACAGTGTCTTGAAGGGAGTTGTTACATAACTCAGGCTCCATATCCTACCTCTTGCCTATCTTGTTGTTTTCTCAGGACCTGCGGTTTGACACACATAGTGGACACTCAGCACATAATTATTGAGGAGACAAATGAACAAGCACATCGCTGGTCTCTAGAGATCTTTGGTGTTTTGGCTCTGAATGCCATTGGCGTAGTGTCACATCTTTTTTTTTTTTTTTTTTTTTTTTTTTTTTTTTTGGTTTTTGGAGACAGGGTTTCTCTGTATTGTTTTGGAGGCTATCGGTCCAGCCCAGCCTTGAACTCACAGAGATCCGCCTGCCTCTGCCTCCCGAGTGCTGGGATTTAAGGCGTGCGCCACCACCGCCCTGCGCACATCTTGCTCTGTGGTGTTTATGGGCTGGCCCCATCAGAGGTGATGGAGACAGTGACACAGGTGTGAAGGAGGGAAGAAGCCATTCGAGGCAAATGAAAAGAAGTCACAGGTCAAGGGAGCTTGGGGACTCTTTACACCTTTCCATGTGATGCTGAGAGAAGCACTTCCCTCCTTCCAGGTATCTTTGGGGCTCTTTTGTGGCGATCTGGCTGTTGTTGCTGTTACCAGCTGGCTTCGCTGGGGTATTACTTGGTCCTCTTCCCAACTTTGCAGGTAGGATCCCCGGGTCAGGCTCTATGAAGGTGACCACTAGAGGGGGCTCCTGTTCACAGCATCTGTCTGCAGGGCAGTCAGCTGCCCGGAAGGCTTGCTATCTTTGTTTCTGAGGTCTTCCTTTCTCTCTCTCTTCTCTCTGTTCCTTGCTGTCCCCAGTCCTTCTCTCTCTCTCCTCTTCCCAGGGTTCTCTTCTTCTACTTTTCTCCCACCTCTTCTCCTCAGTCTCTATTAGTAAATCTAGGTTGGCCCCACCCTGTGATCAACCCTAGTGTCAGAAAGAACAGAGAGACATGTCACTGCAGGACCTCTCTGCCCACCAGGGAGCTCACAGCTTAACCTGAACTTCCTGCCCCCCAAACAAAACAAAACAAACAACAACAACAACAACAACAAAAAAAAAAACCCAGAAAGTCATTACCTAGGAGGAACTGAAGGGAAACTTGGTCTTCTTACCCAGGGGCTCCACAGCCCTTTCTACTGAGAGGCCACCCAACACCTCATTTCCTGATATGGAAAGCTGAGGAAACAGAGGGCAGTTTTACTTCACTGAGGGATAAACTGAGTCTCCAGCCCCAAAGCAAAATATATCATGTTAGATGGGTTCAAATTCTCATTCTGCTGTTTAATGAATTAACAGGTTGCTTAACCTCTGAGCTCAGTGTGTTAGGGTTGTGAGAGTCATGTATGTGGATACTTAGAGCTGTTCCTGGAGTTAGTCTATGGGTCAAGGCCACCTGCCCAGCTGAGGTATCAGGATTGGGACCAATCCCCATCTTGGAACTCTCAGGCTGAAAGTCTTTCTTGCGGGCAGAGGCCACAGGAAACAGAATGCTTCCTCTGATTGGCTCTTTTGGGGAGTGGTCTCTGTATCAGTCAAAGCACAGGAACTCGTGCCCTCAGGCACATTATGTCTTTTCCTGCCATGGATTTCCCTGGGGGAGCGTACCACCCTTTATTCTCACCAGGCCATACCTGATATCCCCTGAAAGCCAGCTGAGGGAGGAAGAAAGAAGAGGTGGATTCGAACTCTGCTGCGGGGCGGGTGATTTTTGACCTAGCTGCTCCACTTGACTGGATTGATTTTATAGATAGACTCATAGATGGGAAGAAAAATGGTGCATGAGGCTTCCAGTCACCATTTTTCTGGCTATAACAGAATATTCAAAGTCAGGCATGGTGCACACCTACAACTCTAGTACTAAGGACATGGGACAAGGCCAGCCTCAGCTACATAGAAAGTTTGAGGTCAGCCTGGGCTACATGAGACCTTGTCTCAGAAATTAAAATAAATCTCCCCCAAGGATCAAGTCTCTACTTTCCCTCTTTCTATCCATTCTTTTAAAAATACAAGAGCCCATTACATAGCCCATGATGGCCTTGAATTTAAGGTGATCCTCCTGCCGTAGCCTCCCAATGCTGTGATCACAAGCACACACCCCCACATCCATGCCTGGCTTTCTTTTCCTTTCTTCCCCTCTCTCCCCTCTCATTCTCTCCTTTATTTTTCTCCCCATTCTTTTCAACTAAAAATTTTAAAAATTGGATTTATTCACTTATATTTTATGTATGAATGTTTTTTTAAAATATTTTATTTACTATGCATACAGTCTTCGGCTTGCATGTCAGTGGAAGGTACCAGATCTCATTCAAGGTTGTTGTGAGCCACCATGTGGTTGCTGGGAATTGAACTCAGGACCTCTGGAAGAACAGCCAGTGCTCTTAACGGCTGAGCCATCTCGCCAGCCCTATGTATGAATGTTTTATCTCCACATTTGGCATCACATGTGTGCTTGGTGTTCAAGAAGGTCAGAAGAGGGCACTGGATCACCTACAACTGGAGTTACAGATGCTTGGGAACCTCTATGTGGGGCTTGGGAATTGAACCTGAGTCCCCTGCAAGTATAAGTGCTCTTAAATGCTGAACCCTTGCTCCCACTTAATTTTTTGTGTGTATGTGTGTGTGCATGCGCATGTGTGCATGCATGAGGTCAGAGGACAACTTGAGGCAGTCTGTTCTCTCTTTCTACCGTGTGAGTCCTGGGGATTGAACTCAGGTCATCAGGCTTGGCGGTGAGTATTTTTACCTGCTGATGCATTGCCTTTTTGCTTCCCTTTCCCAACTTTAGACAGGGTCTCATTCTGTAGACCAAGCTGGCGTGTCTACAGGATCAAACCTGTGATTCTTTGGTTCCACTTCCTTAGTGCTTAGAGTACGGACCTGCAGGAGCACACCCTTGCATTTCCTTATTCCAGAACACATGTGGTGAACGAAGGAGAAGCCTTCTCCAGACAGGAGGCCTCACCCTGCTAGCAGCCTTGGGCTCTGGCTTCCTGCTCTTCCAGAAGAGAGACGCATTCAGGAGCTTTATAGCAACCATGGGCACGGCAGAAAGGGCCTGATGGTGACAAAGCTTTCCCACTGGCTGTTCGGTCTGGAAGTTTTTCTGGGAATGAAAGCGATGTGGACATCTACTTTTTTTTCTCCTGCTGGCATAGTGGTTTTGATGGGTTGTGACAAGGGCAGGGTCTTCCGCTTGGCTGGGGACCCAAGGCCTCCCAGGGAAGGACAAGATCCCAGTAATGACTAGTTTGTTACATCATCTAAGTCTAGCTCTCAGGGATCCCAGCCAAGAAAGATGCTGCTAATGATGGTTAGCCCTATGAACTTCCCCTGCTAAGCTTGCACACATTTCCCTTTTCCTCAGAGACCTGTGTGTGCCCATCCCCTTATATGTACAGGCAGACGCAGTTTTTCACTCATACACAAACAGGTCTGCTTGTTAAACCAACAGGTACACACGCACATGCAAACACCCACAGACACATGCACCCATTCAATCCACACTTTAAGACACACAGTGTATCCAGATAGCCATCCTGATGTTCAGAACAAATCCCCACAGTGGCAGTTCCCAAAGGTGGCTGCCAGCAAGTCTTCTTCCCTAACATCTGTCAAGAAGAAAATCTATTATCCTCCTACTGAATATTTGTGGTCAAAGCAAAGCTCTGACATTTCTACACCCATGCTTGAAGAAGACTGGGAAGGAGCCATCTATGAGTGAGTCCATTTGAGGATGCCATGCTGGGAGGAAGCCCAAGTGAGTCACATGAAGAGAGAGGGGAGCCATACTGAGGAGCACTGGTATGCTGGACACCTGGGTGAAGCCAGCCCAGCTGCTGGGCATCAAACCCATGGGGTGCACTTAACCACCCAGTTACACTTTTTTTTTTTTTTTTTTTTTTTTTGGTTTTTCGAGACAGGGTTTCTCTGTAGCTTTGGAGGCTGTTCTGGAACTAGCTCTTATAAACCAAGCTGGTCTCGAACTCACAGAGATCTGCCTGCCTCTGCCTCCCGAGTGCTGGGATTAAAGGCGTGTACAACCACTGCCCTGCATAGGAAATGGTTTTTTAAAACCATTTTAAGTCTCTTTTACTTTCTTGTTTGTCTTTGAGACAGGTGTTATGCATCCCAGGTTGGCCCTTTGGAGTCAAGAATGACCTTGAACTCACAATCTCTCTATCTGCTCTTTTACAGTAATGTCATTTTAGGCATGCATTATCATGCACCCAGGGATTTATTGTATGCCAGGCCAGCACTCCATCAAAAACCAGCCCTCATTTATGTTTTTGAGATAGGTATTGTTATGTAGTCCAGAGTGGCCTGGAACTCTTGGCAATCCTCCTGTCTTAACCTTCCCAGTACTTTATAGACCCGTCCCACCATGCCTACATCTGGACTACGCTCATACCCTTGCTTCTCTCACAGAAGTACTCCCAAGCTATTAGTCATAACACGATGCAGTCAGGGGGCCCTTACAAGACTTTGCATGCCATTTGAACTTTGAGCATCAAAATTATGAGCAAAGTAGATTTCCTTTGTTTTTAAGTTTTACCTAGCCTCTGCTATTTTGTTATAGCAAGAGGAAAATAGATTAATACACAAGACAAGAAAAACACATGAACAAACCATTAGAAAGGGCTCCAAGCTCTAATGTTAGCTCTAGGTGGAAGTATGAATCATACAGACGTGAAAATCATAGTCGGCAAGAAATGAGAGGCAAGCAGGAAAGAGAATCTACCTGGCTGCCAGTGGGTATGAGTTCTGGAGCTCAGTCGCCTCACCTCTGTGAACCTCAACCTCCTTATCTATCAAAGGGGTTTAGTGATAGCAAATGGCGTGCTCTGATGATCAGATGAGATAGACTATCTCTAACTGTTCTGTGGACTCTGATATTAGCCTAGAACAGCACTTCAAATGCAAAAGCATCCTTATCCTTGCTAGTAATTCAGGCCTAAGCAGCAGACAGGGTGGGAAGTGTGTGTGTAGATCTTCTGGGGACAGGGTCCTTGAATGCCCCTAAAACATTTTGACCTTCAGGTATCCCAAAGAAAGAGAAAAACAGGAGTGGCCAGGTCACTTCTTGTCATTCTCCGCATGTCCGGTCCTTTCATAATTTAGCTGCCTGCTCCACATAATTATTTGCCTTTGCGTCTGAGCTTGGAGCCACAGTAGTTCCCAATAACTAGAGGCTTAATAAGGCTAAGCCATAATGAGTGTCCTGCAGAATTACACACCGCATTAACACCAAATGAGTTCATTAGAAATTCATTAGGCATGATTCCTGTGGCTGCCACAGGAATTAATCATGGTTAGCCAGCGGCAGGAAAGTGGGGGATGGATCATTGCAAGCAGAGTGGGAGGATCTTTTGGCATCTGACTTTGGCCCCAGGCACTTTTTTTGTGAGAGTCATAGACTGCTTAGGTGTAAGTTTGGAGGTGAGGATACTTGGATGTTGTTGACCCTCCTTCTGTCTTCCTCCCCCTTCCTCCTGGATGTAGCCCCACTTGGGATGGAATCTACAGACACGGAGTTAGGCCACCTTCTCTTTCAGTCCTGATTG